ATGTATGGCTGCGAGAGTTGGACTGTAAGGAAGGCCGAGTGCCGAAGAATAGATTCTTTTGAACTATGGTGCTGGAGAAGACTCTTGAGAGTCCCTTGGACTGCAAGAAGATCAAATCAGTCAATCCTAAAAGAAATCAACCCTGACTGTTCCCTGGAAGGCCAGATAATGAAACTGAAGCTCAAATACTTTGGCCACCAAATGAGAAGGGAGCACTCACTGGAGAAGACCCTGATGCTGGGAAAGACTGAAGGTCAAAGAAGACGGGGACGGCAAAGGATGAGATGGTTAGACAGTGTCATAGATGCAACTAACATGAAATTGAGCCAACTTCAGAGGACGGCGGAAGACAGGAAGGCCTGACGTGATCTGGTCCATGGGGTCACAAAGAGTCGGACTCGACTGTGCAACTGAACAACAACAACAACAACACTACCTAATAAATTACCAAAAATTTTGGAAGAGATAGTCAAATACATGGTGACAGTGGCTAGAATTATCTGTGCAGCAAAATGGAAATTAGATGTCTGTGCACGCTTAGAAGAATGGGAAAATAAACTTGCTGACAATGCAGTAATGGCAAAATTAAGACCCTATTTGAGAAACAGATTAATTACAAAATCTGAGGAGAGACAGTGTGTATTATGCAAGCAGGAGACAAATTTAGAATGAGAAACAGTTTTAAAATTGTAAATATGTATTGCAGCAATGCAGAAGGAGAACAAGTTTTGAATATAAATATATACTAGAGAGAGACTTTCTTTTGTACTTTGATATATTGTTATAGCGAGTGTATAGCACTGGCAAAGTATGTAACATTGACTATGTAGTAATGATGAAACTAATAATGTAGTTACAAAATAGGTCAGTTATGAAATCTAAAATGTTGAATATAAAAGTACCCCAACAGAAGGAATGTTGTACTTGATAGATAATGTCTTAAGAAATATAATGAAGGTGATGTTGGGGACAAATATTTTCTGTTTTATACACTCTGTAATATATAATTATCCTTGATATATACAATTATGTTAAATAATCCTTCTCCTTTCTGTATTTTCTATACTATTTGTTTTCTAAAAGTGTGTGTGTATATATATATATATATATACATATACCGAGTTATTCAGTTAGTATATGGTGAGACTGTAGGGTTTTCAAGGCAAGAAACATTCAGAGCTGGTTTGCTTTTGCCTGCCTGTGCATCACCACCCTGGTATTCCTTGGAGATCTCCCATCCAAATAATAGCCAGGACCAACCCCGCTTAGTTTCTGACAAGACAAGTTTCTGGGCCATCCAGGTTAGGGCATACTGGTTATTCTAGCAGCCACCATATCCCTCCAGTGTACTTCTCTTTTTAAAGAGTCATCTTTGGTTTCATGCTGAGCCACTTTGGCCCTCGGCTGCAGACCTCTGCCCTAGGGCATGCCTAACACTTAGAAACCAGAAGTATGTTTTCAGCTGCTTGTCAAGGCTTGAGATTTCTCAAGACGAAAATAATATTGTTTTTCCTACCTGCAACAGACTATTATAGCAAGATTTCAGCCATCCTCTTTCCTCTTCTCTTATTTGACTGAGCCTATCAAAAGTTTGAGTCCAGTGGCACCTTTAAGACCAACCAAGTTTTATTCAAGGTGTAAGCTTTCGTCCGCAACCACACTTTGTCAGACATTTGTCTCTGATGAAGTTGGCCCGCACACGAAAGCTTTGTTGTTGTTGTTGTTGTTGTTCAGCCGCATAGTCGAGTGTCCGACTCTTCGC